TCAAGGAGCCATGTGGAGGCGTCCCTGGATTGGAAGAGAGGCGGTATCCCGCCCCAGCTGCTGCAGCCCCATTACTATAGCTCTACCTGGAACCCCCAACGCGTGGGGCCTGGAGAGGTCACAGCCGGCTGTCCAGAGCAGGAACCACATGGGAGGCAGGCCAGGGCAGGATGCAAGGAAAGCTCCTGAGGGTTTGAGGGGCAGGCCGCAGACGAAGCCTTTGTACAGTCAGTCTACCATCTCCCCAGCGGCTCCCAGCAGGGCGGAGTCTCCCGGGGCCACCACCACGATGGAGGGGCCAGGGCCGACCCGTGCTTCTGAGACAGATGCTCACCCAAACCTCGAGAGCGCCAGGATGAGACTGGGAACGGGGCATTCCCTGGCCCGTGATCCCCACGGTCCCTCTCCAGGGCTCGGCAGCAGTAACTAGGGTTCCGTCTGCCACCTTCCACTTGCAGGGAGAAAGGAGACGAGTGAGGAGGCTCCAGGCTGACCAGGGGCTGACTGGACGCTGGTTTCCGGGCAGTTGTGGGCACACTCAGTCTGCTGTCTGATCGTCTCCCGGCTGCGTCCACAGTGCTGGACGACAGCAATGAGTTCCACAGATATTACTGGGCGCCTCCAGCACAGCCTACTCTGGCCCTCCACCTGTGTCAGTGAGGCCGACCACAGCCCCTCCCTGGAGCTGAGAACCTCTCCCAGCGACAGCGGGCAGACAGACACTGAGGCCTGGCCTGGAGGGACTAGGGGCGTCCCCCAGGAGGAGGAGGGAGGGGCTCGGGCAGGGGGAAGAGGGGAGCCACGCGGGTGCACGAGAGAACACGGCACCCGCAGGCCCAGTGAACTGTGCGTGGAGCGAGCCCGAGTGTGCAAGCACGTGTGCCAGAGACGACAGCAGTGCTCCTGAGAAGCAGCTGGCCTGTGCAGTCCCTCTGCCAGGGGACAGCTCCCCTGCCCCCAAATCCCCACCCCCAGCCTGTGCGGGGGACTGGAAGCCCAGGTGACATGCTGGAGGGGCTCCTGGCCGGCGGCAGCTCGCTGTGCATAGGGCAGGGGCAGGGTGATTCCAGAGAACACACCCCCGGACGCTCGCTCCACTCCCTCTGGGAGCAGAGGGCCCGCTCCCGCCTGGTCCAGACATGGGTCTCAGAACGGCTACTCTGATGACCAGCTGCCACTGCACGGGGCCAGGCCTGACTGCTCAGCCTGAGCTCGGAGCCGCCCAGGAGGTCACCCGCAGCCAGGCTTGGAGGTTTCCCTCCCACCCACGGCCCAGCCTCAGGGTGGCTCCTGGGGCCAGCTCTCTCCTGTCACAGGACCTGGAGGCCTCCTCGGGCTACTGTTATCTCCGAGCTGCCCACGCCCACACTGCCGGGGCCTGCACAGAACCAGAGCTGCCCCTCCTCTGCTCGACAAGGCGGGGGCTCCCCTGTGGCCAGGGGAGGGAGGGGTGGACCAGGCCTGACTTTGCAGAAGCCAGAGGTGGTGAAGCACACCCAGAGGGGAGCGCCGTTCCAGAAAGACAGCCCTGCCAGAGGTGACAAAAGAGCTAACCAGGGCACAGAGGCTGGAGGGCCCTCCAAAGGCGAGGGGACAAGAGGCCTGAGACCTGTGCTGTGGTACGGAATTCTCAGGACTTTCCAGCGGCCACAGACAGGAGCTGGACCACCTGCAGGTCTGCAGGGGCCCTGTACCATGCTGACCCCCCAAGTCCAGCACCGGGAGGGGCCTGCTCTGCCTGACCTTGAGCATTCCGGGTCCTCCCTGCCCACACGGGCCCTCGGAGGAGCAGTTCAACCAGCACCGCACACAGGGCCGACGCTACCCAGACTCCCACCTTCCCGGGAGCACAGCAGCCGCCACATGACAGCGGGGTCGGAACATCCCGTAGCGCAGGGTGGGCACAGCCACGTGGTGTGTGTCCCCTAATGGAAGTAAGCTGACGGATAACATCCTCCAGGCCACCAGTGGGAGAGCCAAATCTAAGGCGCCTGGCAGCCTGGCAGCACGGGGTGCACGCCACCGGGAAACCCAACCACATCCCTCCAGAGGAGGATGGAGAGCCCTCGATTTATCACAGGGCTCCGACAGAGCCACTCGAGCGTCTCTGGCCACAATAAAACCCCTGCCTTCTCATCCATAAGTGTCTGATCTCACAAGGGGACCCCGCACCACGGACAGGCCCTCTTTCCCTGCCAGTGAAGACCAGCACAAAGCGGGCCCCGTGGACAGAAAGCAGCCCGCGTGCAGGGGCGCCGAGGGCCGGCTTCCTGCGGGGACACAGGGCAGACAACACGGCCCCTCCCTCAAAGGGCCAATCCTGACGACCGCAGGGACATCAGGCTGCCCCTCGCCAGGCCCATGTGCTCTGCGGACGCCAGCAGGGCTGTGTCACGTTTCAACACGCACGCCAGCAGTTTCACCAGGAAAGATACACTGGGCTCTATTTATGGACAATATACAATTACAGCCACAGGCATGCAACTCATAGATGATATAAAATTACTCTAAACGCAGTGGGTTTTCTTAAACTAATGATTTTATTGTTTCTATAAAAATAACACACGCTTGTCACAAAACATAATCATAAAGGAAAATACGAAGAGGACAGCCACGTAGCGCCAACAATCCGTCACCTGGTCAGGCGTCGTGAGCACCTGCTGTACAGGATTCCGAGCACCTCCCTGTCTACGTAAGACTAGGAAACGTCTAGATGGACCAGCGCTCCAGGGAGAAGGGCCAGGCCACTCAGGCAACGGCTGGTCCTGACCCTCTGACCCTGTTTATCAAGTGCACACCCACTCTCGTCGTTGGCCAGCAAGGCGCAGCACAAAGTCAGCACCCAAGATCACAGAACAACGTGGGGTTTGAACTCAGCCCTGGGAAAACCCGAGCCATGACCAGTTGCTGTGGAAAATGGAGACAGACCCCACAGCTGCCGGGGCACATGTCCTCTAGGGCAGGACCCAGCCTTCTCTGGGCATGGACATGCGCTGAGCTCCTTGCCAGCCAGCTGCTCAGGGACCTGAGGGTGTCCCCTACACGTCCCTTCCACACCACTGCTAGAGCTCTTCACGGGCCAGGGAGGTGTGGTGGGCAGAGCAATGGCCCAGAGATGTCCAAGTGCCCGTGCCCGTGCCCAGAGCCTGTGAGCCTGACTGCAGAGGCGGTTACATCAGGGACCTCAAGATGGGAGAGGATCCCGGATTGTCGGGGGGAATGTCATCGAGAGGGTCCCTAGAAGGGGGGGGGGTCAGAGTCAGAGAAGGTGGCGTGAGGACAGGACGGAAGCAGTCAGGGAGCAGATGCTCTGAGGATGGAGGAGGGGCCGCGGGCCAAGGACGGCAGGCACCGCCAGAAGCTGGAAGAGGCAGAGAAGGACTCCGTGGAGCCCCGGGGGAAGTGCAGCCCTGCAGCCCCAGCTGACCTCAGAACAGGAATATAAATTTGTGTTGTTTAAGCCAGGAGCTTGTGGTCACTTGTCAGCGCTGCAGCAGGAAACTAACAGGACTTGCGCCTGCGGGCTGGGAGGGCCAGGGCTGGCAGAGTGCAGGGACGCACGGGGGACAGGGGAGGACACAGCCCTGAGCCTCAAGCTTTCCCTGATGTGACTCGTGTGGAGGCCCTGGGGACATCCTGCACCCCCTCCCAGGGGCGCGCGTGGGCCAGACCAAGGTGGGGCTCATCTTCCTGGGCAGGCGGCAGGGGCCCCAGGCCAGACCCTTGCTGCCTCTGACCTCTCCGACCTATCTCCCACCTAAGGGGAGCACTGGGGAACCATTCTGGAAATTGGCTTTCGGTGCCTTTCATAAAGCCGTCCGTTGGCTCATCCTGACGATGAGACAAAACGCGTGCTTTACATGACAAATGACGCACTACCAAAAATACCTCCTGGGAGCCTGGCAGGACAGACAGGACGTCTGCATCGCTAAGCACTGCATTTTCAGCACGCACATCTAGAAAACCACAGGTTCCTTCGTGAAGAAGTCAGCTCCTCTCTCTGCTTCCTCTCCTGACTTGCTGAAACCACTTATGTCTGCGATACCCTTTTTGAAATTCACTGAAAGTTATTTCCAGAAAAGAATTCGCTCAATTATGTATATAGAAAGTTCAACTACAAAGAGTTTAGTACAAAATATTTTAACGTTTTGTTTTGAAATAATTTCAGACTTCCAAAAATAGGACAGAGTTCGTACGCCCAGCTTCCCCAAATAACATCTTACATAATGACAGAACAAGAATCAAACATCCCGGGAGCTCTCCGAGATCTTCATGTCTCACCGACTGGCCCCCACCGCCCTTCCTGGCCCAGGACCTGAGTGGTTAGCCTCACGTCTCCTTGGACCCCTGGGGTGGGGGCAGCAATTCAGACAGTTTGTCTTTAGCACCCTGACACTTTGAAGAGTGCTGGTCTTCATTCCGTAGAATGTCCCTCAGTTTGGGTTTGTCTGGTGTTTTCTCATTAGATTGAGGTTAGGCATTTCTGGCACGAAAACCACAGAAGTGATGCTGCGCCTGCCTAGGGCAGAGGATCGGGGCCCGAGCTGTGGTGACCACTCGGTCCAGGGGCCCACACTGTGAGGTTCCCGCTGTTCCCTGCGACATCACCAAGGGCCTGATGGGGAGGTCCTCCAGGGCAGGCAAACCGCGTTCCCCATCCCACTCTGCCCACTGACTCCAGGACAGGCTGCTGGGCCTTGTCTGCAGGCATTATCACCCAGGAAGGTGCCAGCGGGGACTCTCCTCCCGCCATTCCTGCTGCCTTAGTCAGCGTCAGGAGCTGCCCCTCCCCGACTGATATGAATTCCACTATTCATTCTACCGGCAGGGGCTCCTGGGTGGAAATGCCTTCTGAGGGCTAGACCCTGTCATGGTCTTCATTTTCTTGCCCAGTGTCCCTGATGTGGCCACTGGGTCTCCTTCACGCGGCTGCCTGTGTCCTTCTGACAAGCCCCACTGCTCTGCAGCAGTGCCTTACTTTCCGACACAAGACGGTCGAGGCTCACCTTGGGCTCTCCCAGCCCCGGCCTGGAGTCAGCCATCCCTTCGAGGGGCCCTGGTTCCTTCGGCAGAGAGCGGTCTTACAATCCAAGATCTGGCGCTGGGCGTGCATCCTGTTCAGGGTGCTGCTGCTTCCAGGACCCTGGGTGCATGGAGCTGGGGAACACTTGTATGGAGATGCACACACTCACACACACCCCTGCATCTGTTTCCACATCTGGCTGCCTTTATACGTTAGAACACCAGGAGTTCCACACACCCGGCTCCCATTACCCACAACATCTAATTTTTCAATCTTAGAATATGCATAGTTTCAGAATTGTCGTCCGTGTGAAAAACAAATTCACTAACTAGAGCACAGAATTTTGTCTCTTTGTCTCTAGCTTTGGTCAAAATGCTGTTTTCCAAAGTTACTTCGGCGAGTCGTCCCCCCGCCCCTTCAGGCTGGTCAGAGCTGGCCTTTGTAATCGGTTGGGCTTGGGCTGTTGGTACTGTTGGTGCTCCGTTGTGGGTCCCCCCACATCTCGGCTTGTGTTTTGAGCATGCAGAACACGAGTGCGGTCCAGAGTCAGAACGAGAGTAAAAGGTACAGAGAGGTGGCGCTCGTGAGCCTGCCCACCCGCTCCTGACTGTTCGAGAAGTTTGTGGTTTGTCCTTCTTGAATTTCCCTTTTGTACAGATATGCAGCTATCTGTATGGCTTCTTGGCTCTCTTTCTCTTTAACACACTAGATATCCTCTGGGACTCTGCTGTCCTCAGCTCACAGCATGTTCCTGTGTGAAGTTGCTCCGTGTGGGTTTGGCCAGTGTGGGTCCCCACCCTTCTCCCCACTTCCCTGCTGCGGCTGCAGCGCCCGCTGTGAGGAGACACGGGAGATGCGAGGACTCGCATGCACGGGCATTGGGGCCACTTCAATGCTCTGTAATTACAAAAAGGGCCGCAACGAATAACCTTGTGCATGCGTCCTTCTGTACTGTTAGAAAGCACAAAATAGTTTGATGGCTCAGTTGGCAATAAAAATCAAGACTTTTGGGGCCGACCCCGTGGCCGAATGGTTAAGTTCAAGCGCTCTGCTGAGGCGGCCCAGGGTTTCACCGGTTCGAATCCTGTGTGTGGACATGGCACCGCTCATCAGGCCACAGTGAGGCAGCGTCCCACATGCCACAACTAGAAGGACACACAACTAAGAATATACAACTAGGTACTGGGGAACTTTGGGGAGAAAAATGAAAAAATAAAATCTTAAAAAAAAATCAAGACTTTTCATAAACTAGGCAATAATATGCAAAAAAACCTGCAGCACAACTAGAAGCGTAAGACAGAGACCACATAATGAGCAGCGACAAGCTGCAGATGGCAGGAGTTGGAGCTAAACCGTGAACATGGTAAAGGGCGCTGAGCGAGATGGAACCAGCCGTGGGAGGGACGTGATACAGGCAGGGCCCGACCAGGAGACACGCACCACCTCGGACTGAAAAGAGAGGGACGTTACCGCAGAGGACAGATGCGGGCGAGACGCCTCTGCCACCCACAGCCGAGGAGCAGAGGGCGGTGACTTCCTGGAGCCCAGGTGGGAATCTAGGCCGGCTGCCCTCACCTTCGAGAGCCTGGAGAAGACTCAGAGCCCAGAAGGGACACACCCTGGATTCTGCCAACACCATCCGCCACTGGCCACACCAGGACGAAAGCCAGCTGACCGGGAGCTGAGGAAAGCAACCGACGGGGGCAGGTCCGAGGGGAAACAGGCCCAGAGCCTTCTGCCCATGGTTCTGAACCCTGGCCACACTCCCAATCACCCCAGAAACCCTGGCTGAGGGTTTGGACACCTGTGAGGTTTAAATGACCTGCAGTCAATTCTGGAAACAGCCCGGCCGAGAACGACTGCTCTCAGCACTGGTGGATGGAACCGTGATGCTACAGGACATCCTCCAGCACACGCTCGGGGACCCAGAGGCAGGTGTGGGTGTTCTTAGAGTAAAGAAATGGGAAGACGACCATGTAAGCCACACCGCAAATGTACTGACATTCTATTTTCCAGAGTTACAATGAAGGAGTTATTCAAATCAAACATCTAGTTTTATAAATATAGTCTGATACAAATCAGAAAACAACCCCTTGATCAGAAAGATACGCGGGATTCGGGCATTATGAAGAAAAGATCAAGACGTCAAATACGTCCAAAGCCAGGCGACTTCTATTACTCACTTCCTAGTTTGTATACTTATTTTGTTAAAAAAAAAAAAAAGGAAATAAGCTAGCATATATGTTTACAAATACAAAAGGAAACCACTCTGTTGGGGAATGGTTTTCTGACAGTGTCCGTCTACACAACAGAGGTTCGTGAGCGTTCAGCACGTCAGCCCTGAAAAGACGCACAGCGTCTCATCATGGAAACTCATCACCTCACAGGAGGGCCGAGGTGCCGCTCACTGACCCAGTCGGTGCTCAACACGCTGGCCTCCTGTCTGTCACGGGCCTCCCTGGGGACACTGTCACATACTTGGATTTCAAGATGAAGCCTTACACCCCTGGGGAAAATGAGAATCTAAAAAGAACAGTAACTGTTCAGAATAATCTGGGAAGCTTCCAGAGACAAGCCGCATCCTGGCTACGGGTGCACCAGAGAGGATGCCTACTCTGACATCACCTGACTGTTTCAAGGACATTCCAAGAGCCCCTTTCTAACTCACACTCCCCAGGAAGTACGCAGTCAGGGTGACAGGTCCATGCAGCACACTCCGTCCCCGACGACCCCCGACACAGCCGGCGGCCTTCCTCCCATCAAGACTGGGTTTTGGTCTTTGACTTCCCATCTATGAGATCTCCGAACCCCAGCTTCTCCAGCGGTTCTTGCGCCATTAGCTGCCTAAAAGAAAAACAGACAGTCGTCAGGCAAACGGTGAAGATGGTGGAGAGACGTCGACCCCAGGCGAGCCGGAGCCTCTGGGGACCCAGGCCAGCGAAGCCATCTGGAGCCCCAAGCAGGGACTGCGGGCACAGCATCGGCTGAGGGACGGTTAAGGTGCGCTTCGGAGCGTTGTGACTTGCTCAGACAGGGCGCGACGGCCCCACACTCTGTCTCCAAAGTGTGGCAGCACCAAGAAGACACTCACCCAGTTCCAGTTCGTAAAGACGCATCAGTGTAAAAGACAGCCGTTCAGACACGCGGGTCCCACCAGCGCGCTATTTAAAGCACTCAGGGTGGCCCTCTGTCGGATCTAAGCTCCTGTGAGCCCGAACAGCTCGGAAGGCAGAACAACGGCCTCGCCCGAGGGCCACGCGCCAAGAAGGCCCACCACCCCAAAGTCCCTAACGTCCACAGACGGCCCTCAGCACACCTGTGGGCCTGGGAAGCGCCACGGATGGCGCCTTGAGGAGGAGGTCTGCGTGTGTGACTGGAAAATGGAAATGGGGCCAAAGCGGACTGTTTTATGTTGCCCGTTGTGAGACAAGCCTGCCTGAAGACCAGATTCCCGAGTGAGCTAAGGAGGGGGGCTCCAGAGGCAGAGAAAGACGTTTCCACCCCCACCCATAACTCCACATGCTCTACCCCATTAAGGGTTAGAACAGTCCTGACTTTAAGTAAAATCTCAACGGATCAAGTTAGAAACATGTTTGTCTTGTTTAAAAGGGAGCCCTGGTGAATCCTGGTGGAGACAGGACGAGTCCCTCATCTTTCACCGTTTCTTAAACAGCCATTGTCTCCCCGTCACATTCCTAACAGCTCCAAGTCTGGGCGGAACAAAGCACAGAATGCATATTTCTACGGTCTGAGAATGTGAAAGAAAGGCAGTGCGTGCCACAACCCTCCCATCTTTTAACTCAGTCGGCACCTGTACGTGCACGATCCCGAAACCTTAATGACGGGTCTGGAGCTCCCAGATCTGGAGAGAAAATCCTCCAAGCAATGCACTGGCGGACAACGCTGTCACTCAAGAAAAGGTCCCAAGACTGCCCATCGACTTAGGCACAATTCACCCGGATGAGCCTCAATGTCAGGGGGTCTGCAGCCCCGAAACACGGAGGCCGAGCCTGCGGCGGGGAGGAGGCTACTGCCCTGACCCCTGGGCCAAAACGCTTTGGTGGCAGAGGTGGGCGGTGGGAGAAGCCGCGGCTGTTGGGGGGGTACTTGCCTCTCCATCCTGCATTCCAGATATTCTTTGGATTCATTTCTGCACAAAGCGTTTTCAAAATTGCGGTCGCGAAGGCACTTCATGAACTTCTCTTTAAAGCTCTTACATTCGCCTGGAACGAGGAAGGAACAGCATCTTCTGCGACAGGTGCAAACGGGACGCGTTCCCGCCGCAGCCTCCCAATCCCCCGGCAGCGCTGCATCTCCTTCCGGAGCCTGTTTTCCCCAGAAACGAGCAGAAAACCACCCCCGGGCCGAGCCCACCCACAGCGGGGAGACCCGGGGCGGGGGCAGGCGCACGGTGTCACCCGGCGGACCCTGGCTGTGTGTCTGGAAACAAGGAGCAATCTAGAAATAATGTGTGAAACCCATCAATTTCAAAGCCCTAACCTCCACGGAGCTCGCCCGAAGCCAGGACTCAAACACAAAGGGCGCGACCGCGGCATTTCCGGTTTGGCCCAGGGTCCGAGCCCCGAGATTACGAAGAGCGGACTCGACGACGGTGACAGCTGGTGACACCACAGTCCCCAGCCTGAGGAGCCCTCCCTGGTCCGACTCCCACCCCCCGACCGCGGCGGAGAGGCCGGGGGGGGGGGGGGGGGGGGGGGGGGGGGCTGAGCCGAGCCTCAGTTTCCCCACCTGCGCCCCGCGCGGACGCCAGGGGCCCACCCGGCTGCGCGGCTTGCCCGGGCCGGGGTCTGGGCCTCCCGCCGCTCACCGAAGTGATCCAGCGGGAAGCTGCCCTTGTCCGGGGGCCGCGGCTGGAAACTCTTGGACCCAAAGTTCATGGCCGTCGACATGATGGCGCCGCCCGGAGCTTCCGAGTGCGACGCGCGCCGTACGTAGGGCGGCCGGCCGAGCGCCGAGCAGGCCCCGCGCGAGCGCCGAGCGCGTCGAACAGCGATCAGCCCCTCGTCACACAGGCCCCGCCCCCGCCGCGGGGGCCTCACCGCCCAGGCCCCGCCCC